TATATATAATTTCTTTATTTATTTTTAAAGTATAGACAAGAGAAAAAATTATAGTGAATGCTTATTGAACAATTAAGTGTACGATATAATAACCAACCTCATACAATAAACATATAATAATAATAATAATAGAGGTCTTACTATGCCATGACAACATTTTCCAGGAAATCACAGGTAACAGTAATATAAGCAGTGCACCACAGACTAGTGCAATCACCCAAATAAGGTCCCTGAAACAAATAAGGAAATTATTAGACTTATACTGAAGCTGAGATATGTTATCAGTTAGTATCAAATAGATCCAAACAGATGTTAAATAGTAGTATATTTTGAACGTACCTGCTTTCATAAGTGGTTTTGGGTTCTAATGTCAGATCTTTAGATGACAGAGTAACTGTAGAGTTACTACCAACATGTGGAGTTGTTGATCTGCTGGTTAGTGTTGTCCTAACAGTACTACTGCTGTGAGATGGGTCATTGTTTGAGGTCTCCGTTGTGGTTGGATAGGATGAGGACTGTGTCGTTGAATGAAACTGCTTTGGGGATGCCGTAGATGTCTGGTCAGTTTTTTCTGTCTGAATCGAAGTACTTTCAGGTAATTTTGATGTTTTGGGTACAAGTGTTGCTACTGAATTATGGTTGTGTACATCTAAAGAGTTAGATGAAGTGAAAGATTGTGCAGTCGTAAACGTGAAAGGACCTGTAAAAAAAAAACAATCAGATATGACACATTGCGGCTTGTTTTACTCAACTACATTTTATATCAGAACAGGAATGTGTTGTTTTGCTTTACCCAGAAACTCATTGTGAAATTCATTATTTTATTGGCATGTGATCCTATTATCTTTAAAGGGGAAGTGTGTAATTTCTTGAATATTATAATACTAAGCACTCAGAACATTTGCCCCAAAGAAATAAAATGATAGGCTATAAAAAATATTTCTCCTTATCTAGCTTGATGTGCTGAGAGAAGACATTGGATGATTCCCACCAAAAGTCTAAAAATTATCTTTCAAAACATTGCTTTGTTTGGTTACTCCTACATAGCAACACTGGCTCAACCAATGGCATGCGTTTGGAGCAGGGCTATCTGTTTAGCCAACCAATGACTGATGAGGGAGTTTTCGAGAAACCTGTTTGAAATGTGATTTCGACATTTTTTGCAATTCTGTTGAATTGCAGTCGCAGAAATGACACATCAGCAAAATTCTGTGGGCAAAAGGTCCACTGTCCATTGCCAATAGTGTAAACTCACAACAAAATGGGTAAGTACATAATCAAATTAATAAATCATTGATAAACCATTTTTATTTTATTTCAAATTCACAGCCTACTCGGTGACTGGTACAATCTTTGTCATGGAATATATGTTTTATTTACATAGACTTCACAGTTTGAACATCATTGGATGTTATTTTTAAGATCTAAGGTAAATCACCCACTGTAAATTTCATTATGGCTATTACAATCATGAAGTATGGAAGCCCGTTTCCACCACGAAATAAAAAAAATTAAAAGAATGACTGACTTTTTTTTTACATCTCACAAATTCTCGCAATTGAGAGTTATAAAGTGACAATTGCATGATATAAAGGCGCATTTGCGTGCTGTAAAGTTAGAATTGCGAGATATAAATCACGAGACTTAACTCGCAATTGCAAATTTATATCACACAATTCTGAGAAAAGGGATCGAATTTTGCGAGATGTAAACTTGCAATCATGAGAAAAAGTAACAAATGCGAGATATAAACTCATTATTGAAAGAAAAATTGTGAGGTGTAAATTCCCAATTGTTTTATAATCGTTTTAATTATAATTACGCGGTGTCGCGTCTGGTAAGGATGTGGTGTTAATCTAATGTACATGTTAATGATATGTGAAATGTGATCATTACTTACTTGTGTTGGCATCTGTAATGAGTTGTCTTGAATCAACATTGATATGAACGGGAACCTGCACTTCCCCAGCCATACACCAATACCAGCCTGCATCTGTCTTCTTCAGTCCTGTCAGTGTCACTGTATAAGCGCCATCATTTGTCTCATTTATCTGTAGAGCTGCACCAAGGGATGGCTCTATATCCTGAGCCGTTTGACAGGAGTGCAGATCTCCACTTCTGCACCATTTTCTCTCAGTATCTTTAAATTTGTCACTGTAGAGACACTGTACAGTAACATTGCCGCCCTCTTCTCCTGACACCCTGTTGCTGGCTGCTGACAGATCTGGAGTACCTGAAAATAATCAGTCAACAAAATCAATTAATGATTTAACTGATGAACTATCAAATGCTTTGTAGTGGTACTAAAGTATCTCAAAATCATTTACCCTCAGTGACGGTAAGCTCTAGAGATGTTCTGACAAAGGTATTTCGTATTTTGACTGCACACCAGTAGCGGTTCGAATCACTGCTGCGCAGGTTTGTCATCGTCATGGTTGTTACCAGTTCATCTGGGCTGTTGTAAAAGCTGATGCCTGTTCGCTTCTCTTGGTTGGTAGGTCGCAGTTTCAAGCAGGTAAGCCAGTTCTTGCCCTTGAACCAGAGCTTTTCCGAGTTCTTGTGCAGCTGATGGTAGTGACAGGGAATGGTGACAGATCCTCCACTTTGAGCTGTTATCTTGCTTACTGTCCATAGAGAGTCGGTTCCTGTGAGTCACAAAATGTAAATATTCTCTAGAAAGATTTTCTTTGGAAATCTCACCCAGATTTATTCACCGAAAGAATATCAGCAATATGAAATGATATAAGGGTGAGAAAAATAATGATTTTTGGGTGAACTATTCAAGGACATTATTTAGCCTACAGCTAGGTCACCAAATCTGACAAGGCAGTATTGGAGGTTACCAAACTCGGTTGCCCGCTCTACTTCACACACAATGGCTTTACTGTTACCCAAATCCACACTGGTGATGTCTAGTCTTCTCTGTTTCATACAACAACAAAAGAAATTTGGTTCAATGTAAACAGCTGCAGAAATAGGTTCGCCAAATATGACAAGGCAGCACAAGACACTATCAAAATCTGTTACCTACTTCTACTTCACAAAGAATCGCTTTTTTCTACACTGAATTTTTTTTATCCATTTTATTTTACAGTTTTTTCACGTATTTTTGAAATATCCAAATCCAGTGTAAAATCACATGAAAAAATGTAAATGTACATAACACCCCAAAAAACTTTTTTTGAAGATTTTTTTCACATAACACCAATTTATCAGTGCACTCTATCTATCTATCTATCTATCTATCTATCTATCTATCTATCTATCTATCTATCTATCTATCTATCTATCTATCTATCTATC